TTATTATTTTTAATAAATGTGAATAAATTTTAATTATTGAAAGTTAAAAGATGAATTGTTGAAATTTAGCTAGACTTAGTTAACGTTTGTTTTTTTAATAAATTCATTTAAAAAACAATAATTATTCTATGGCATGAGGAGTATATATGGAACTAGCAAATTAGTCGAGCTTCTATGAAAAATTGCCTTAAAAACCAACCCCTAGCCATGGTTAAACAAGAGACTAGCTGGAGAGCTACGAAAAGGTGATGCACGGAGATGAGAAGGCTCGAGCTCGACCCATCCTAGCCCAGACCTCTCTAAAGTTTTTGGCCCAAACAGACCACTTTAAGGGTTAAACATTTGGGTTAACGCAAAATGATAGATAATGAGCCCGATGGATAAGGACTTCAAAGTATCAAATAAAAGATTTTGGGCTTTAATGAGGGCCCATTTCAGTAACACACTTAATTTCTTGTCATTATTTATTTATGGCCAAACCCCATATTTGCACACTCTATTTAATTCTTTTTCGTGGTCAACACATTTCAAAATTTTTTCTCTCTATTCACACCTTTCACTTGTCAAAACTCGTAAAAAACTCAATATTTTAATAAGCCGTCACAACATTATTAAAAAATGCACTACGTGGCATTATAGTGTTATTAATTCAACATGAATACTTTCTTTTATGATGTGGCATAATTTTTTATGCACACGTGGATGCTTAAAAAAAAAATCTAAGGAATTAAATGAATTAAAATATAATTAATTTCTTCTATCTTTTTCTTATCCTTATCCTTATCCTTATCCTTCTCCTCATCTTTGGCATCATCTTCATCTGGGTTCCACGAGGGAACCCTGTTTCTGGTTCCTTGGAGGAACCCAGTTGCTGGATTCCTCGCGAGAACCCAGTTGCTGGATTCCTCGCGAGAACCCAGTTCTAGGTTCCACGAGGGAACCCTATTGCTGGGTTCCTTGCGAGAACCCAATTTCTGGTTCCTCACGGAACCTATATCTGGGTTCCGTCTCGCTCCCTAGGCTTCTTCTCTTTATCACCTTTTTCCTCCCTCACAAGAGGTAAGGTACGATCGATCGTGATGGATCTACCTCTATTATATGGCTTCTACGATTTCAAATTCTATGTCCACGTCCTGCGTCCCTTATTCTTAACTTCTATTTGTAATTTTATTTGTTTGCTACAATTCAAAATTACGATTTTGTGAAAAATATGGATAATTTTTACTAGATCTTACAATCACATTTTTCTTTCTTGTGGTTGGTACCTTTTTAGCTATTGTGGTTTATCTTTTGGCAAATTCAAGTCTTTGAATGAGCTCAATTTGTGCATTTTGAATGATTTGTTGAGGAAGATTTAGTTTTGGGTT